TCTTTCTTTTCCTCCTTCCCTACCTCTCACTCTTTCTTTCTTTTCTTTCTTTGAGATAGGGTTTCTTTGTGTAACCTTGTCTGTTCTGGAACTTCTGTAGACTAGACTGGCCTCAAACTCAGAGATCTACCTGCCTCTGCCTCCTAAGTATTGGGATTAAAGGCATGAGCCACCACCACCTGGCTCCTGTTTTCATTCTTTTTTTTGAGCTGAAGACCAAACCCAGGGCCTTGTTCTTGCTAGGCAAGTGCTCTACCACTGAGCTAAATCCCCAACCCTCAGTTTTCATTCTTATCTCTTCAGTTGTTTGCTTCCCTGTATGACACTTGCAGGGACACCCTCACTGTGTGAGTTTTTGCAGCCTAGCCTATGAATTTTTCAGATGGTACCTTTGCCATGTTTCATTGATCAAACCAGTTGCTACAGATAAGGCCTAAGAGGATTTAGTTTCCACCAAAGATGGAAGAATTGCCCAGTAGTTGTGGCCCACTCCCAAAAGTCAGTATCCAAGTTCACTTCAGGTGGTGGTGGCTCATGCCTTTAATCCTAATACTTAGGAGGCAGAGGCAGGTAGATCTCTGAGTTTGAGGCCAGTCTAGTCTACAGAAGAAGTTCCAGAACAGACAAGGTTACTCAGAGAAACCCTATCTCAAAGAAAGAAAAGAAAGAAAGAGTGAGAGGTAGGGAAGGAGGAAAAGAAAGAAAGAAAGAAAGTTAGAGAGAGAAAAGGAAGGAAGGAAGGAAGGAAGGAAGGGAAAGAAAGAAAGAAGGAAAGAAAGAAAGAAAGAAAGAAAGAAAGAAAGAAAGAAAGAAAGAAAGAAAGAAAGAAAGAAAGAAAGAAAGTATTCTTCATGTATACTTGCTTAGCTCAAAGGTTATTACAAAGTATAGTATTTAATTTCTGAATATTGAGTCATTCCTAGACTCTTGATTTGATACTGGTTTCTTATTTATAGGATTTATATTCAGAGCATATATGGGATTTTATTTTGGGGATTTGTGTTATGGGTCAACATAATGTTCGGTTTTGGTGACTTTTCTGTTTCTTCTTTAACACTAAAGTCAAGATTTTTGTCATCAGTATCTGCCTTCTTCTTGACTTTGTAGCCTATGTCCAATTAATTTCTTTTCTTTTCTTTCTTTCTTTCTTTCTTTTTTTTTTTCTTTTGGTTTTTCGAGACAGGGTTTCTCTTGTGTAGCTCTGGAGCCTGTCCTGGAACTCACTCTGTAGCCCAGGCTGGCCTCGAACTCACAGAGATCTGCCTGCCTTTGCCTCTCAAGTGCTGGGATTAAAGGTGTTTCTTTTGATTTCTACCTGAGAACTGAACTCAGGTCCAGAATAGTCCTAACCCTCAATTGTTGAGCAGAGTGTGTGGTGTATCTCTCTCTCTCTCTGTGTGCTCTGTATGCTAACTTTTTATTTTAATTTCATTGATTTATTCTTTGATTCTTTTTTTTCTCCCATTGTTGTATTCAATTTTTGTTTTTCTGCTCTCAAAAGGCTCAAACTTAGATTACCGATCTTAGCTTATTTTTCCTAATATTTTATTTCATGCATCAGTTTCCCTCTAGTAGCAGTTTATGCTGTAGTCTACAATTTTTATCTTACTCATTTTTTTTAAAATTCAGTTCAGAATATCCTTTTTTACATTTGTGTGTGTGTGTGTGTGTGTGTGTGTGTGTGCATATATGTTCAAGCATACACACAAAAGGGTACAAATCAGAGGAACATGTAGGCCCAGGGATAGAATTTAGTGTGTAAGGCTTGATGGCAAGCACCTTTAACTGCTAAACCATTATGCAATCTCTCCATTTCAAAATATTCTAAAACTTTCTTAAAGAGATCTTTTCAATCCATGCTTTATCTAGTAGTAAGTTGTGGTGGTATTGTGTTCCCCAAAATATTGTGTACTCTAATAAATTTATCTGGGGTCAGAGAACAGACAGCCACTAGATACAAAGGCTAGAAAATGGTGGCACTCACACCTTTAATCCTAGCATTCCAAAGATAGAAATCCCTCTGGATCTCTGTGAGTTCAAGGCCACATTGGAAATAGCCAAGCATGGTGACACAAGCCTTTAATGCCAGAAAGCCAGCCTTTAATCCCAGGGAGTGGTGGTAGAAAGCAGAAAGATATATAAGGCATGAGGACCAGAAACTAGAAGATTTTGGCTGGTTAAGCATTCAGGCTTTTGAGCAGTAATTCAGCTGAGACCCATTCCGGATGAGGACTCAGAGGCCTCCAGTCTGAGGAGACAAGACCAGCTGAGGATCCGGCGAGGTGAGATAGCTGTGGCTTGTTCTGTCTCTCTGATCTACCAGCATGGACCCCAATAATTCGCCTCAGGTTTGATTTTATTAATAAGAACTTTTAAGATTCCTGCTACAGTAAGTTGTTTAACCTTAGTCTGTTTGGAGAGCCTCTACCTGTGGAATAGGAATTTCATAGCAAGATTTTTGTTCGCTTGTTGTGTGTGCATGCGTGTGTGTGTGTGTATGTGTGTGTGTGTGTGTGTGTGTGTGTTTCCTCCTCTGTATCTGAAAACACTCCCATGTCTCACTCTCTATTCTTCCTTCTGACTATCCCATAAGCCTTTCTAGTTTTTCTAGGGGATGGCTGTTGAAATCCAGATCTGCTCAGTTCACTTACCTGTTCTGATACAACTTCATAGTATTATACTGTAATTTTGTAATTAGTAGGTCTTACAAATAACAAGTAATAAGCAGTTATTTGTATGGGCAAGGAAATATTGGAATGTCAGAGTACACACCTTTAATCTGTAAGGAATACCATTTGGCATATAAAGCTTGCCTATTGCTGCCATGAGGACCAGGCTCCAGCAACTCAAGGATTGATGGGGAAGCCACAGAGTTGGTGAACTAATAAAGTATGCCTTTAAATCATTTTCCAAGATATTTTTACCTCAAAGCCAATTAACAAAAACATTTTAACCTAACCTCAAGTCATTATTTATTTGAAGCTTTGCTTTAGCTACAATGTACACCAAAAACTTTGAGCACATCTTCCAACATTAAGGTTAAAAGAATTTAAGCTATCTGGGCTACTGGGACTCAATTGTTTTTCTTTCTTTCTTTTTTCTTTTTTTGAGACAGGGTTTCTCTGTGTAGCTTTGGAGCCTGTCCTGGAACTCACTTTGTAGCCCAGTCTGGCCTGGAACTCACAGAGATCCACATGGCTCTGCCTTCTGAGTGCTGGGATTAAAGGCGTGCACCACCACTGCCTGGCTTCAATTGTTTTTCTTAATCATTAACCTAAGTCACTAATCAATGTCTATAGCACTCCTCAAGAGACATTTTCTTGTTCTTATTTTCTATCCTCTGCAGCCCCTGCTTTATTAGGGGCAGGGGCAACCTTTATTAGGGGCAGGGGCAACCTTGTATCTTACTTTTACCTATATTAGTTTTCCCACTAAGCTAACCTTTATCCTAATCTCTTACTGTATTTATTAAAGACTGTCAATCATCAAAATCCTATTTAAGCCAGGGTACACGCCTTTAATCCTAGCACTGGGAGGCAGAGCCGGGCAGATTTTGTGAGTTTGAGGCCAGCCTGGTCTACAGAGTGAGATGTAGGACAGGCACCAAAACTACACAGCGTAAACCCTGTCTTGAAAAACAAACTAACAAACAAACAAAACAACAAAAATCCTATTTAAACTAATACTTTTATTGTGTAAAATCATTGCTTTAGTTACAGTACAGTTTAGGAGAAAACCATCTTCACAATAATCCACAGGTAAAAATGCCCAGCAGAACAGGATATTTCCGTGAGATAATCATACCACATTAAAGGCAATGGGGATCTCCCCATGCCCATTCACACCATGCCATGTACCAGTGAAAAAATGGCAGCAGCAAACATATAAAGGCATAGCAGTAGCAAGAGACATATTGGGGCTGAAGCCCTTGGGTCCTTTCCTAGCCAAGATATGTCTAGATATGTAAGTACAGAATCATTCATTTCATAATCAGTTCCTTCAATTTTATGTTTTCCTGTTGTCAAATACAGGGAGGTTCATTCACCTATATATGACACTATGTATAGGACTATTACTATGGTGTGTGGTTGCTTGTGTGATTGAGATACGGTGCTGAAGAGGAGTTTCAGCCATTCCAAGTAAAGCAAAGGTTATACTTTCAAAGGTTCCTGAGGAAGGGGAGGTCTTGCAGGAAGCAGGTTGGTTAACATATGAGTTATGCTGCATGACTTAGTGACAAGGATCACTCTATCTTTGGGAGTGGCGATTGTTATTGCATGACCCATACAATATGACAGTAGTGAGGCTGCCTCCAACCCCTAAGAGGGAAAGTGATGCCTGGGTATGTTCATGCCTCACGTGCAGCCCTATGTGATTAAGGCCTAGTTACCTGAATAGCCTTGGTTCTCTTACACCAACAGTGAAGGTTTTAATCTATAAGGTAATCATTGTCCTCCATTCATAAGTCAATAATATCAGAATAATTCTTTGATATTTCTTTTTCTTCACTATATAAGCAAGGGAAATTATAATGTAACATATACATGAGAGCCTTCCACTCCTTAAGATAAGCTGGGTCTTCAAGTTCCTGTTTATAAGCATAGAGTAATTGACTGAGGAGAAATGTGCTGTTACAGGATTTGGTGTCATTTGAGGATGCCACTGTGAACTTCACCTGGGAGGAGTGGCAGAATCTTGATGATACTCAGAGGGTGCTGTACAGGAATGTGATGCTGGAGACATACAGCAGCCTGGTGTCCCTGGGTAAGTAGTGTCAGGAGCAAGCACTTTCAGTGTAGTAAATATATGAACAAATGTGAGATCTAAAGCTGTTTAGGGGTAAGGTTCTAGGCCACACATTATGATTGTTCAGTGCTCTCTAGTGAAATGTCCACATTTGCACTTTGGTTGCACAGATCTTAAAACCTGTTTTTGTCTTTCTGCAAAGAACCTTATTAGCAGAAAATTTCTCTAAGTCCTACATTATTTCTTATTAACAGGACAATGTATCCCTAAACCTGAGTTGTTCTTCAAATTGGAACAGGGAGCAGAGCCATGGACAGCAGATGAATCTGCAAACCAGAGTCTGCCAGGTTAGTCATACTCTTGGACGGGGAGATCATGTCTAGCATAAGTTGGCCATTTTACCAATTTATCCCAAGTTCCATATCTGAGAGCACAAAATTGTTCATTACATACTCGACAAGGAGAATTCTCTTGAATATGTACCTACCTTTCATTTGATGAAAATTTTCCAAGAATTATACCTGAAGTCTAACCTTTGACGTCTGTTTTTTGATAATTTCCTCTGGTATTTCTTTTTTCATAATTTCAGTTGCCTCTTACACTCCAATCTCATGGGGATTTTGTTTTCAGACATTTTTTCATGTGTTTGTTTTTGTTTTAGCACATTTTAATGAAGCAGATTTCAAGTGCTGGTCATTTTATACATTGTACATCAATAAAAATGTAAGACTAGTTGCTTCAGTGTGGTGGTGCAGCCGGTCATGTCCCATGCGTGGTCACTCCGCAAAGATGCCTGAGGAAACCCAGACCCAAGACCAACCCATGGAGGAGGAGGAGGTCGAGACTTTCGCCTTTCAGGCAGAAATCACCCAGTTGATGTCCTTGATCATCAATACTTTCTATTCAAACAAAGAGATCTTTCTGAGGGAGCTGATTTCAAATTCATCAGATGCTCTGGACAAGATCAGATA